TTTAATTTCTTTCTTTCTTTCTACAGATGGGAAATCTGATACCCAGTGAATTGAGGTGAATTACTCATGGCTACACAGGGAGTTAGTGTCAGATCTCAAGTGCTATTAGCTACCCAAAACATGGTCATCCCTCTAGCCCACACTGCCTTTTATAGATAAGAACTTCCCCACAAAAGGGGATCAAGTATAACAGTGTAGCACAAAACAATGAGAAATGTTCCATTTTTAGAGGCAAAAACAACATACCTTTTATTCAACTCATTTCACAAGTGTTACTTTTAAAATCCACAGCTGAAGCAGAAGCACATGCAATGACATATAAATGGCACAGTGTGACACTATTTTTTGGTATGGTCTCTGTCATTGTCATCCTGATTTCTTTACCTCTTAACCCTACCTAGAGAATCTCTTGTGGGGAAAGAACAGAAGAGATGCTGGAATTTCCTTCTCATCTGTGACAAATCCTAGTTTGGAACCTGTGGTCCTTTAGGCATAGAAAGGTAGATGTTGGAATTAATGGGCAGGAAGGGGAAGAATCAGAGATGGATTAGTTATTTGGCATAAAGGTCCATGCCTATGACCCCTGGCTCTGGGGTCAATATGCTCAGGGGCAGCAAGTTATATGAGCCCGTGGTGCCCGTGCTCCAGAAAATTCAGGGCCTGGGGGCCCGGCTCCATCAATGTTCAGGGCCAGGTCTCTCCCCCAGCCGCCCTGCGCGCCTCCCCTGGAGCATCCTCCAGCCCCACCTGCTGCCCCTGCGCACCTCCCCCGGAGCGTCCCTGCCTGTGCCCTGGGCAGCGGGCGACTGCCCTGCCGCTCTGCGCTGTGCTCCCTCACCGGTCACTGCCGGCTACAAAAGGGAGCGGCGCTGGCGGCAGGCTGAGGAGGGAGGAGGCGCATACATGATAACAGCCCCACCCCCATCCCTGGCACCTACCACAGGGAGGCGAGGAGGCTTCTGGACCTGAGAGGGGCCTGACCCCTAGGAGCATGTGCAGTGACGGTGCCTGGTGAGTGTGCTGCCAGGGAGGAAGGCTGGGGGACTGTGGAGTCCTTCTCTCTGGCCCCAACCCCAGCCAGAGCCCTCATCCCCGGACCCCAAACCTCTGCCCTAGCCCTGAGGCCCTCCCACACCCCAAACCCCTCATCGCCAGCCCCAGCCAGAGCCCTCATCCCCCACACACCCCAACCCTCTGCCCCAGCCCTGAGCCCACACTCCAAACCCCTGGGCCCCACCCCATTAATTTTGTTATGTGCACCAATATGCAGGTGGGGGGAGGGGTCAGGACTTTGACCCGTTCTGGACACCACCAAAAATTATACAAACCTGCCACCCCTGAATATGCTGTCATCGCACACAGTCAAGGAGCTCAAATGGAGCACACTGCCCGCAGCATAGGCCATCTGCTCTCAGGAGAGAGGCAGGTCCTGCCATGAACATTTGGAGCTGCAGGAGCCTGCCAATGTCTGCTGGTGGAAGAGGGGAGCCCAGGCCTCAGTTGTTGCTATCCTAGTGTTGGCGGCAGAAGTGGGGTCCTGGCTGCTGCTGTGATATTCTCGGGCAGCAGTGAAACGGAAGAAGACCTGCGGTGCCATTGTTTGCCTCCAGGGGCTGAAGGAGGGAGTTCTCCTGGTCAAACTACTGCTTTCCCAGGGTAGCTGATGTACAGGGTTCCGCTCACCACACGCTTGCCCAGGCAGAAGGGTCTGTTAGCTCAATCCAGTTTGTTTAGCAAAGTGGGCATCTCGACAGGCATTTCAAGCATGCTAAGCCAACTAGAAGGAGCCAACACGATTCAAACACAGTCTTTCCCCCTGTGGGGCACTGCTGCCCCTCTGGAGCAAGGATCCCAGAGATGGTGACATTGCCTAGTGCCTGACGCAGGGGGTAGCTGGGAGGTGGGAGCCTGGAATGTCTTTCAAGGGGTAAAAGAACGAAGTCATTTAGTGCTAGGTCTCCCCCCACCTGTGGCTGAAATCTCGGGTGTCCCCAGCTCCTCATCTGAATCCTGTCGCTGACTTGGCTATGAAATCTGGGGGGAGAAGGGAGAGGAAGAGGCTAGTCCTGCTTTGTACCAAGCTAGCTCCAGTGTGACTCCTCGAGGGGCTCTCACCAGCTTTGAGGCTGGCTCCTCAGCGCCTCTTTCCGTGTGTGTTTTGTGTTAAACACCCACCCCCCGATCTGCTACAGCCACTGCAGCAGGAGGGAGAAGAGATTTAACCCTTCCCAGCTGGCAGCGGAGCGCTAGCTCCGGCACAAGAGAAAAGGGTGGGAGGAGAGCTGAGTCTGGCTGCCCGCAGCTTCTCTGGTTGAATGATTTCAGTTAGGGCACCGCACCCTATCTAGGGTTCCGATCTCTAATTTAGCTGTGTTTCAAGGAACCCAGCAGAGCAGATGCAACGCAATCAGTCTGTGGTCACTGAAGAGTTAAAAAAACTGCTTAAATCTTCTCTTTAGAAAAATATGAAACCCAAGGGGTGGAGACCACTAGCTAAAGGAAACGCTTAAAGCCAATTTGGCTTTGTTATGCAAGTTGAGTTCCTTCTGGGGCAGCAGAGATGCGGAGTGCAGGCAATGCAGTGGCTTCAGAGACTGAACCCTTTCTGAGCAAGGTAAGCATTGGGAGCACAGTTTGGGACGCTGGCACTAGGAAAACAGCTTTTTGGTATAAATCCCCATTTAGAAATCAATGCTCCGAGTGAGTCTTCCCCAGAATAAATGATGGATTACTGACTCAAGACCTTCCTTCATAGGCAGCTGAGTCTCCCGTTACTTTCTGCTGGAGTAGATGTGGGTTTAGCTTTAATTATTATTACTCATATTTATTATGGTACGGTACCTAAGGAACATCCAGGAATGGAGGCCCATTGTGCCAAGCACCATACAAACACAGCGTTTATGTAGTTTCTGCTTTGTGATTCTCATTTTGATGAGTGAAGTAGAATAGCCAGTGTCCTTAGCAGCTGTCAACTATTCAGCATTAGCAACTGTTTGGGCAGGAATAGGCAAAGAATATTTCACAGTAAAATTACACAAATTTGTTAGTGAGATCTCTGAGAGAATTTGATAGAGAAGTAATAATCTGATCACTCAATAAATCACTCCTGTATATCACACCTTAACATGCTAGGCACCTGGGACTCCACTTTCTGCTTCTCTAACTTCCATTATCTTTTATTTTCTGCTTTCCTTGCATTATTTAACACAGCTAATTTGCTTTTGTTTTACTTCCATCCTTAAGTGGCACCTATAATTTTACAAGCCTTATAAATTTACTTTTTTGTGTGTTTATACATGTATATTTGTATTTGCAATAACTAAATTCCAAACTGACATTTGCTCATTCCTTTGTTTCAAAACATGTTTGATAGCTTATTTTATTTGCTTTTCTGAATTTTACACTGGCACAACTTTTGCAAAGGATGATCTCGCCAAATAGAAATGATTAGGGGCAGCTTTTCTGTTTACAGCTTTGAGATGGGTCTCTTTACACATATCAGTGAGCACCCACCCCTTTACCTCTTCTCAAGATGGCATCAATAAATTGCAGAACTGCCCTCCCTCACAACACATTTAGAATGTTAATAGTGGAAAAACAGTGAGGTCGCTCCAGTCAAGTGATTTTCATGCCGGACTTATTTTGTGCATTTTCAGTTGCATTTAAAACAAATCAAGCCTTTTCTCTTTCTAAACCTGAACTTTTAAAAGGTGTTTCCTATGTCAAAAGTTTGAGAAATTGAGAGAGATATATGGAACCTGCATTTTCCATTGACTTACCTGGGATCCCTCACACTGGGTGAGATCCAGACACTCAGTGCAAGCCCCATTGCCTCCTACTTATTTGTGCAAATCTGCATTAAGAAAAAAAGTTTATTGGATGAGCTTTATCTATTTAATTTGCTGAACCATTTTTTTTACATGGTGGGGGGAGAGGGTGAATGGACCTTACTGATTCGTTTGTGATCTAATATTTAAATCTGACATGCAGTGAAATGAACAGATTGTTTTATATTGTTTTCAGTTTGCCACCTTGTTTCCATCCCTTCCTCTGACTCTTTGCTTTGTTTATGCCCCTGCTTTAAGGGCTGTGGCGTCTGAGGTTACCCAGAGAGTACCAGACACTGGAGCCTCCACCTCAAAGATACTGCCACAAGTGTGGCCCGTGAGGTTTCTACTTGACTTCACCCTCTGGTGGGTGGCTGGAGAAGTGCCGCTCAGCCTGGAACCATGGGCTCTACCAGCAGCCGCCAGAAGAAAGTCTTCAATGACTCAGTCAGCGATTATGTCAACACTGAAATCATTAAGAAACATTACAACTACACAGGGAAGTTAAACGAGAAGGCAGACAGTGGAATAAAAGTGACCTCAGTGGTTTTTATCATCATTTGTTGCTTTATCATCTTAGAGAACATTTTTGTCCTGCTGACCATCTGGAAAACCAAGAAATTTCACCGACCCATGTACTATTTCATTGGGAATTTGGCTCTCTCAGACTTGCTGGCTGGGGTAGCTTATACTGCCAACCTTTTGTTATCTGGACACAAAACCTATAGTCTCACCCCTGCCCAGTGGTTTGTCAGGGAAGGCAGCATGTTTGTAGCTTTGTCAGCCTCTGTTTTCAGCCTGCTGGCCATTGCCATTGAGAGGTATATCACCATGCTGAAGATGAAACTCCACAATGAGAGCAACAGCTTCCGCTCCTTCCTACTGATCAGTGCCTGCTGGGTGATATCCATGATCCTAGGGGGGCTCCCTATTATGGGCTGGAACTGCTTTGACCACCTGCAGAGTTGCTCCACTGTGCTGCCCCCTCTACCATAAGCACTATATTCTCTTTTGCACCACAGTTTTCACTGGTCTTTTATTATCAATTGTCGTCCTCTACTGCAGGATCTATTCCATGGTCAGGACTAGGAGCCGCAGTCTGACATTTCGAAAAAACATTACCAAAGCCACGAGGAGCTCAGAGAAATCTCTAGCATTGCTCAAGACAGTGATCATTGTCCTGAGCGCATTTATTGCCTGCTGGAGTCCCTTGTTCATCCTACTCTTGCTGGATGTGGGGTGCAAAGTGAAGGCCTGTTCAATCCTCTTCAAAGCTGAGTATTTCTTAGTACTGGCTGTGCTCAATTCAGCCACGAACCCTATCATCTATACCTTAACCAACAAAGAGATGCGGAGGGCCTTCATCAAGATCCTGTGCTGTTGCAAATGCCGCTCTGCAGATTCTGGGGCCAAATTCAAGAGGCCAATCATAGGAGGGATGGAGTTTAGTCGAAGCAAATCTGACAATTCCTCCCACCCACAGAAGGATGAGGGTGACTGCCCGGAGACAATCATGTCTTCAGGCAATGTCACCTCATCTTCTTAGAAGTATCCATCGGAGGCATATTTTAAAGCCTCCCCTTTGAAACCTGACAGACAAGAAGCTACCTGCTCACTGTAGCAACTCCAGAGAGATGGCCTAAGTGAGCAAGATAGCATTAGTTCTGAAGAGGCAAGCAGGGCACTTGCAAGGGTGGAGTTCAGGAAGTGGGACAGACTGTTTTGGCTTGAAAATATTTCCCTCTGGAGCATGTTTTGTCTTTGCACTGAGGCAGACTCAGGATTGCCAGGAGTATTCATAACTTGGAAAGACTGATGCCTTGGTGAAATGGTGCCGTGTGTGTGCGAGTGTGTGCATGACTGAGAGGCAGAAGGAGGAGGGTGGGAGAATGAATTGTTTTTTTCTTTGTGAAGAATGTGAAGTTATTATTTCTTTACTTGCAGAAAAAGCCCTGACACAAAAGATCTTTCTGTACCAAGTTTAGGGATAGCTCTACTATCCTGGGTCACAAGTGTTTGCCATTTGGCATGTAGCAGGAAGGAGATCACACCAATGTAATCTAGATCACTGACAACCATAGGTTGGCATCACTTTCCTGAGTTTTTAGATGTAATAAGATTTCATCTGCGGAGTCCAAAGCTTTTCTTTAGCAAGATCAGTTCTGTGAAGTTGTGCTGAAAATCCATATTACTTTTAAGATCATGAGCCAGATTCTGCATTAGATTGCATTCATATAACCCCAAAGAAGTCAATAGGATTGAATGGGAGGAGCTCAGAATAGCATTTGGCCCCATAGATCTATTGATTTGTTACATTTAGTATGAAATAAATTACATGACCATAATAGTTACAGGATAAAACTACAGTTAAAGAGAAAATGAACATGTGATATTTGACAAGATAAATATAATACAGAAGCTCCCCGACTTATGCAAGGCGTTTCATTCCGGAACGCCTTGCATAAGTCAAGTTTTGCGTAAGTCTGGAACGTATCTCCAACAATTACCCACACACACACACACACACACACAGCTTACAGAACTTACGGAACTTTTTCCGTAAGTCCAGATTTCCATAAGTCGGGTTTGCGCAACCCGGGGAGCGTCTGTAGTATCAAGTACTATTAGCATCAGTGTTTTTGACTGAGTAAGGACAGAGTAAATACTGAAAAAGAATTTCAGGATTTGGCCCACAGAGTTTCCATAGTAAAGATTGATTAGAAAATCTGTATAGAATACCATGAAATTCAGAGAAACAAAAAAGGACCTTTGTCCAAGTGAAATGGCTTTTGATGACATATAAATGTACTTCCATAACAAAATGCAAGAAATTTTTTGACACTTACTTTGTGTTCTTTGTATTAGAATGTTCATAATTTCAGCAAAGATGTCTGTATTTTATCAATTCACGTAAGAAATACCTTTAATTTAAATTGAATGTATTTGTTTTATGGCATCATTTCCATTACAGTATTTTTCTAACCTGCATTAAGGGGGTTGAATGTATACAATATATATAATTAACGAGATGCAGAAGTCTTCAAACACCTAGAGCATTATTATAACAAAAAAGTGTATCGGGGTAGCTGAACAATTGATTAATGTACAGTTATTGTTGAAACCTAGAAGTGATTTTCTATAAAAATGTTGTCTTTGTAGTATGATTTCCAGTGCAATTAAACTGATTTTTTTCTTTGTTTTTAAAAAATAGTATTTAAAATGTTTGACTTTTATTGTTCAATTTGCACATAGCTTTATTGATTTCTAAACATTAATAAACTGATTTTTTTAAGATGCTACTCTCACAATTTTTTTTGTACTGTCATCAAGATATGGAGCATGATTCATTGATCATAGACGTCAATGGAAACACTCTCATTGATTTCAATAGATATTGGATCAAGCTGATTCTGCATGATATTTCTATTCAATTAAGGACAGAGATCCATAATGACACCTTTTTTTACAAGGCAATATAAAAGGGTACAAGAACAGGTGCTCCAATAGAAAGGTGATGGGTGCCAATAAAAGAACCTGGATGTATCTATGCTCCAGATCAAGAAATTTCACTATGGCAAATAATGGAGATTACTGCAGCTTACTGTCCAGAATGGAGTAAGTGAAATACCATGTAATTCAGGAGATCATGCATTAGAAATTAAGTTATATATTAACCAGTCCCATTTTTGTTATATTTATCTGGGGGGGGGAGGAATCTTTAAAAATAGTTGTGAATTTTGCTGTCAGCTTATTACAAACATCAAGGTGGTTTATATTTAAAATATAAAGCCAGAGCCTCAACTGGTGTAAATCAATGTCACTCCACTGACTTTGTTAGCTGAGGATCTGGCCAATGTTTTTCAGTAGCTACTGTATTTCTTCCAAGATTTGACTCTTCCATTTCCCCTATTGCTGCCATTCTCTCTAGGTAATACTTTAAAAGTTTCATTGAGCTTATACAGGATACAGTTGGGGCGTAAAGATAAAACTCACCTTCTTATGCAGTACGTCATTTCTGTGCAAGGTTTACTGTGGGAAACTGGAGCCTACTAACTGGGGAAGGCTTTAGGTCAGAACCTCTCACTTCCTGAAGGAAATTCCAAAAATGCCCTGAAGACAAAAGAGTGGAAACAGACTGGAATTTCTCTCCATCTGTCTGCCTGTACGGAAGGAATGATTTCATGTATGCTCACTTCCTAGGCTTTTTAATTACTGTCCTGAGCAAAGCTGGAAAAAATGTCAAATCCGTATTTGTGCAAAAGATAAAACTTTTCTTGGCTTAGGTCTTCATTCTGGCAGTGACTTAGGGCACTGAGGGGCAATAGGGAATATAAGCTAAATCCTCTGTGTATCATTTATTCTCCTCCCCACCACGCAGAGGGCTGGAATGAGGATTATGCACTACTTACATTACACTTAAGCCCTCAGAATGAGAACTGATGTAGTTCAATAGATAGAACCCAAATCTCCATCAATTGCCCTATTTCCAGCTGCTGTATGGCCATGGGCAAGTAATTTCCTCTATTCTTTTGTTCCCTCTTCCCGCCCTTTGTCTGTCTTGGCTATTTAAGTTGTAAGCTCTTTGGGGCAGGGACTGCCTCTCACAATGTGTTTGTACAGCAGGGGGCCAGTTTTGATTGGGGCCCTCTAGACACTACTGCATTTCATGCAATAAATAGAAAGTGATGTGTTAGCCTCATACTAACCCCCTCTGCACATGGGTCTATATCAGCCTTTATGAAGGAACTCTTCTGATACAGATGACTGATAACTCACTTCCTGGCTAGTTAGGACATACCTGCTCATTCTCAAAGAGATTCATACTTTGGGAATACAGGTGATGTCATATATAATAAAAACTAGGGGTTCATGCCAGGAAGTGAGACGTACAGATCTACTTAACCTCTTTCTCTCTTTTCTATGTGGATTCTCTAGGCCACTGACATCTATTGCAATAAATCAACTCCCATTGTGGAGTTTCATCCTCAGCATGGTGATATACCTCTCAATGGCAATGGCCAGCAGGCTGAAAACAGAGGCTGACAAAGCTACAAACATGCTGCCTTCCCTGACAAACCACTGGGCAGGGGTGAGACTATAGGTTTTGTGTCCAGATAACAAAAGGTTGGCAGTATAAGCCACCCCAGCCAGCTATTGAGCATTCTACCCTGTAGAACAGGCACCTTCCTACTCCACAGAGCTGCTCCCTGTACACGGGGAGTCAGATCCATTTCACTTTCATGGCAAAAATAAGTTTTCTCTGCTTTTTACTCCTGTTAGCCCGGCTGAGCCAACACAGCAACAAGAGAGGGAGCTGGATTGTATTCCTCCTTGTGGAACATCAACAGAATTTTACATTCCATTCCAATTAGTTACCTGTGCAAAACCAATGGGTTTCACAGGAGTCACCAAGGGCTATGATCTGGTCCCTTTACATTTTGTTTCTGGGACATAAAGGGCTTGAAAACAGCTGTATCTTGGCACCTGGGAATTCTCCTGGTGCAGAGTTCCCTGGGTGAGGTAGGGTGAACAAAGTTGCTGTGCCATCCTCCTGTAGTGACCAATGTTTGTAGGGGATGGTAGTGGGAATATTATGTAATGGAGGAGTTGTGGTCAGAGTGCTCTATACTCCAGAAGTTTGGGGCCCACAGTGCAGTCAAAGTGGGATGTTCAAAGTTATTCTAAGGAAAAGCAATCCCTGCATCTGCTGTAAATTATGTTGAGAACGGGGTCCAAAACTGGGGAGACACAAAGGTAGCTATAGTCTTGACATCATCCAATCCCTTTGACAAATCACCCTCCCCACACCAGCTCAAATCCACTCTAAGGCATCCCTCATTGTAACTAACTACAGAGCTAACAGTTCTCCAAGTATGTAGAGAGGATTACATTGTCTTTGGAAGGAATCTCACAGCATGAGCTCTTTCCAGCATTTAATTTTATCTGCAACCAGTGTCCAGACAGTCCAAGTGCACTTCACATTACAAGTCACCTCTACTAAAGTTGGAATTGCTATCCTTGGAACCTGCTCTCTTCCCAATGCCAGAATTCACAACAGGATGAGTTATCCTACAGGCAGGCAGCCACTGTGCAAAATGAACTCAAGGAAAGAGATTATGCTTAGTGGTTTAGCCACTCTTATGTACGCAATATGTTACTCTTGCATATATTATAGAGGTCACAGAATTAAAGTGTTGCAAGGAATAAATGTGATGAAAGAAAGGCAAGAACAGGATGCTTTGTACATTTCCACCCGTAGTTTCACGTGAGGTTCCGGTGCATGGATCTAATTTTCTTCTTCTCATATAGTTTTTTTCATTGCAGATGTCTTACTGCAGTTCCATCTGTGGTTATTACTTGTGGTTATGTCAACAGAGCGGCTATTATAAGTATAATTTCAGTTTCCCCAAAATTTGGTTTTTCGCTAATTACCTGTCAGCCTTGAAAATGAAATTAACACTGCAGGGACCTGGTAATCAGACTTTTCCTTTTCACCCCCACCAAAGTTGTCTGCCCTGCAGGTAAATCACTTAGGAACTCCAGTAATATTAACTCTCATTAAGCACTCTACCACAAGGTGATGTTCACAAACTCCTACAGGGCACACTTCAACTAGCCTTTTTACACACGAAAAGTGAAAGTTGACAGCCATGTGGCTATGGATGAAGAGCTAGTGAAAGCTGTAGCTATGGGAATGACACTTTTACTAGAGCAGCGTTTGAATCTCTAAATGTACACTAACAACAAGGAGTCTGGTGGCACCTTAAAGACTAACAGATTTATTTGGGCATATGCTTTTGTGGGTAAAAACCTCACTTCTTCAGATGCATGGAGTGAAAGTTACAGATGCAGGCATTATATACTGACACATGGAGAGAAGGGAGTTACTTCGCAAGTGGAGAACCAGTGTTGACAGGGCCAATTCAATCAGGGTGGATGTAGTCCACTCCCAATAACAGATGAGGAGGTGTCAATTCCAGGAGAGGAAAAGCTGCTTCTGTAGTAAGCCAGCCACTCCCAGTCCCTATTCAAGCCCAGATTAATGGTGTTAAATTTGCAAATGAATTTTAGTTCTGCTGTTTCTCTTTGAAGTCTGTTTCTGAAGTTTTTTTGTTCAATAATAGTGACTTTTAAATCTGTAATAGAATGACCAGGGAGATCGAAGTGTTCACTTACTGGCTTTTGTATGTTACCATGCCTGATGTCCGATTTGTGTCCATTTATTCTTTTGTGGAGGGACTGTCCGGTTTGGCCAATGTACATGGCAGAGGGGCATTGCTGGCACATGATGGCATATATAACATTAGTAGATGTGCAGGTGAATGAACCCTTGATGGTGTGGCTGATGTGGTTGGGTCCTCTGATGGTGTCGCCAGAGTAGATATGGGGACAGAATAGGCAATGAGGTTTGCTACAGGGATTGGTTCCATGATCTACAACCTATCCTGGAAAATGATCCCTCACTCTCACAGACCTTGGGAGGCAGGCCAGTCCTCGCTTACAGACAACCCCCCAACCTAAAACAAATACTCACCAGCAACTACACACCACACCACAGAAACACCAACCCAAGAACCAATCCTGGCTGAAACCAAACATTTATACGGCAATTAAACAGCCCCTTGGCCCAAGCCCAAGTCAGCTGGTACAAACCAGCCATGGATTTTCAATTGCAGTGTAGACATACCCTAAATATTCAGTGTTTAACTGGTATATTGATGTTAGTTGAGGCTTTAAAGGTCTTGATCTTGCACCATTGAAGTTAATGGGAGTTTTAGCATTGGCTTCAATAGGAACAGTATCAGGCCCATAGTAAAAACCAAAGATCCATTGGGTTGCTTGAATATCACTCTGTTTTAAAAAAATAATTCTTACGTCTGCTTGCACGCCTGTCAGTCACTACAGGATTTCCCTACCATGCTGAGAGCAAAGTTGATTGTGCCTGTGAGTTTCAGAATGAGACACCGTGACCTCTTGAACCTCAGCTCCACCCTTCACTGTCACACCAAAATTAACTGTTATCAGAAACAAAAAGTCTTCATCAGCAAAAATAAAAAATTGTTTTGTTTGGTTGAGTGTCTAGAGTAGACCAAAATGAATCAACAGCAAGGACCAGCAAGCATTTTCAAATTACAGTCACAGCCATAAAGCTATTTTAAGAGATAAAAATCCTTTGCTTTATGGAGATCATTCATTTGATCTTCACATTTGGGGAACTCTATGTTATAGTCAAACACAGAATATAGGCTTACTATAGTGGGTTATCAAACCCTGGAATACATTAAAAAAGCAAT